TAAGATTCTGAATTCAATTTGTACAGTATCTACCGTAGTAGTCTGCAAACACCGTCACATCAAAATCAGAAAGAAGAGATTTTTTTCAAGATTTCAGCTCCTACAGTAATCATTGCTTGTCCAGAGTTTCGCATAGTTATAGTTTTTGCACACGATCTACCGTAGTAGTCTGCAAACTCCGTTACGCTAAAAAATCAATCAAATATCACCCAAAACCTTATTCAAAGTTTCCAGCTCCTACAGTAATCCTAGACGATCGATTATCGAGCATTTCGAGACAGCGTTTCAAACTACAGTAGTCTACAGTATCCCGTTTTCCCGATTTTCAGATAAAACTGAAAACACTAGGCCACCCATGGAATAGATATCGTATCTATGGGAACTAAAAAATGGGTCCGCTTTCATCGAATCTATCGATTACAGCTTCCCAAAATCAGACGTTTTGAGAGCGTTCCGGAAATCCTCATTTTCTCTCAAAAGTATATTTTTGACCTCCAATTAAACTTCCAATTTGTAAAAGTACACTCGCGTATCTTCTTTTCTCCTATTCCCAAATCATTCAGCTCACACATTTTTCCCCACCATCACTCTCGATTCGTATCGAACCCGTATAGATCATTGGATCATCGCTTTCTCTTTCTCTGCGTCTCTCGATCTCGCCCGTTCTCTTCGAGATCCCAGAGAAAAAGCCCTCTATAACACACCCATCGGCGGACAACAAATCAACCCGAACAACGTCTCAATGACAAGGAAAGAATCAAAGACATGGGATGGTGGGGTGGGAGAGGAGCACGGATTTTTCTACCAAAAGAAAAATTGTGTATCGTCGTCTGCGTCTGACTCTCGATGGATAGCCAGCTCCAAGGCTTTTTTATTTCTTCGTTTTAACTGCTCAATCAACACCATTTCTCTACCATTCATTCGGTTGTAGTTTAGTAGACAACTAATAGTAGTAGCCAACACTTTTTTCCCACTGTATAGAAAACATTCTAAATTTTTAGAAAGCCCGGAAAAGTATGGATCAGGATTTTTGAAATCTTCTAAATCGGGAATTGGAACTATAGTAGTTTGAGCTCAATTATCTCGGTTCCTATGGGAGATATCAAAAATGTGTGAACTGATAAAATATTGGTGATTTTATGATAAAGAATTTATCAGTTAATTACTTTTTTTTTCATATCTCTTACAGGAACCCTTTCAGAAGGGATTCGATTAGACCTGCTGGAAGTTTTCTTGAATTCAGAAAATTTTCAAAAAATCCAAATGACATTTTTTGATTCATAAAATAGGAGCAAAATTTTCGAAAACAGAAATCAGGTGTACTTTTCAAAACGATTTCTTTTCGAAATTTTCGTTTCTCAAAAATTGAGGTATTATTTTCCAATTTAGCAAACCCAAGCCGTTAACTTTGAGCTTAATTAACAGGGTTCCTAGGAGAGATATCAAAATTTTGTTAACTGATAAAATATTGGTGATATTATGATAAACATTTTATCAGTTGACAACGTTTTGATATCTTTCCTAGGAACCGAGATAATTGAACTCAAAATTGACAGTTTGGGTGGGCTTCTAATAGAGCGAAAATACGGTAATTGGAATCTACCGTAAAACTTGCAATAGAAGGACCCCTAACTTTCAACTTTGAGCTCAATTATCTGAGTTCCTATGAGAGACATTAAAAATCTGTTAACTGATAAAACACTCCTTATATTGTGATAAATATTTTATCAGGTGACAAACTTTTGATATTTTTTAAGTAATTGAGATCATTGAGCTCAAAGTTGACGGTTCGAGAGGGCTTCTATTAAAGCAAATTTCAAAAAAATGCTATTTGAGTTCCACAAATCTAGAATTCAAAGGAAAAATTAGTATCTAGTTTGAAGATATCGGAAACTGAATTCCATGATTAAGTACCCGAATTTCAGATTTTCCAAATTTCAGACTTCCTAGAACTTTGCCAAATTTTGAGATTCCTTT